ACACCTCAGTCACAGGATACAGGACAGTAACATGCGCTTAAGTACAGGCTGGTTTTACAGCGTATCTATCAGATGTTCGCACAAATGAATATGTACCTATGTCTGCAGTGTATGTAGAGGTGAGAACACACATGGGCCATGACAATAGAATGGAGTTTTTAAAATTAAACCTCTAGAAGCTGTGCATACAAATGAGTACTGTACTCCTGAATTGTCCCCTTGAGAGGCTGAGTCCAAATTCATTTCAAAAATTTTCTTAGGGATTTTAAAGGAAAAAATAAGTGTGACTTACCTTAATTACCATCTTTATTCTTTCCCTTGTGCTATGAACAACTTGGGATTACTTCCAAAACTTAAATCTTTATTTTTATTTTTAGGGGGTTTTTGAGACAGGGTCTCGCTATGTAGTTCCAGCTGGCTTTGAACTCACTATGCAGCTCAGATTGGCCTTCAACTTGTGGTGATCCTCCTGCTTCAGCCTCCTGAATGCTGGGAATATAGGCATTTGCTACCACACCTGGTTATAAGACCATTTTTAAAAGATAAAGATTTCTCACCTCTCAGGGGAAATCAAAGGAATATGCCAGACCCTGAAGGCCACTCTAATAAAGGAATTCCCCAAATTTTCTTAATTCTATTCTCAACCCTTAGTCATACCTCATATGTATGCACTAACATATATACATATATATATTTTAATATATAGTAAGTTACCAAATGAGAAAAAGGTATACTACTTAAAGGGAGAGAAAAACTGCTTATGTGTTCAAGAAGAAAGTCATTTACTGAAATGCTGACCTTTGCATCCTCCCAGCTGACCAGCTTCTGCTAACTTCTTAATTCCTCTGCCACCTCCCATGGAGCCACACATCAAAAGCAAACATAAGGAATGATCCTCACATCAAATGAAGACATTTTAAATACATTGATTAATTAGCAAGAAAAAATAAGAAAAGAAAGCCAACATTTATAGTGCACATACCATTAATCTTGGGGTTTGGGATATGGAGGAGTGACTGGTGGGCTGGACGCTCTGGCTCCTTAAAGCTTCCACCGCTTAAGAACAGGTGTGAGGTCCCACTTCCAATGGCCTCAAGACTCCTTTCCTTCACAAGTGTGCGTGATCACTCACAGAGCACAGAACAGGTGGAGCATGCTCGCCCCCCTTGCTCCAGAGCAGACACCGGAGCAAGACTGTTTAGGACATGTCACTCTTCTCAGCATAGTTCTCTCCAGCCTTCACGGGAGCTGCCTGCCTCGAAATCTTTTAAGCCCTATCCCTTCTTCACTGTCTCCTAGACCACTGGCACTGCTTGTCTGTGTTCACTGGGACTGAGCAGCTTGCTGGGGAGAATTTCTCTGTCTACTTGTACTTCACATAAAGGTGTGTCAGCCACAATGTCAACAGAGCGCAGGGCCTGAGGGCGACACAGGTGGGAGCAAACTGGACGATGACTTGCTTTTCTGCAGGGCATATGTGGAGAGCCTCTTCCCTGACCAACAGCACCGCTGAATTCTCTATTCCATATTCAGAACTTACTTGGAGCTGTGATCTTGATATCCACTCTTGCTGTGTAGTCAAACTCACACATGAGCTGTAAAGGGTGACCCTCACATGAAGTGAGGAGGGCTCTGCCACCCCTTGCCCTCCCAACCAAGCCGGGGAAAAATGAGTGGCCCTGTCCTGCAGGCAAGGTGAGAAGACAGTGAACTCCACACCGTCCAGGGCCACCAGCCTCTGGGAAGCAGAAGGAACACCAAGAAAACAATGCCAAGAAAAGTGTTCCATACATGCTGATATTTTGGGAAAATAATGTGCAATTCCTGGCAGCTTTAGCTATATGGAACTACAGACAGTAATAATTCTTACATACAAACCCACTGATTTAGTGAAACTCTAGGGTCATAGGCCTGCTCCCAACTACATCTTATATTCCATGAAAAGCCCTGGCAGCATGAAGACATTACCAGAGCCTACTCATGGATGAAGCCAAACTGCTCTGGCACACATTTATCCAAAGCCAAAGTGCTTACCCTTTACCTGAGGCAGTCGAGTTCTAGGGTCAGATGTGCCTGAGAAGTTCTAAAGACCAGGCCTTTGGACAATGCAGAAATAACTTTTAAGACGTGTTTTGTAACTGTAATATAACACAAAGTTTACAATCTATGCCTGGTATTAATGGGCAATTTTAGGAGTTCTGGGTTTCATTCTGTTTCTCAGGTTCTGAGAGGTATGGCTGCTTCTGCTGGTGTGTGTGTGTGTGCGCGCGCGCGTGTGCGAGTGTGCTACACACACATCACAAATACAGTCAGAGAGCCCAGACGTTGCAGGTCTTGTCTGAAGCCACACATCCTATAGTGTAGGCTCCTCTCTAACCCGGTTTTCAATCCTAACTTCTCCTGGCTGTGAGGCTTTGCGAAGGGACCCAACATTCCCAAGCCTGAGTCTCTGATTCCTGCAATTAGAGTAATGAACTTGCCCCTGCTCCCCAGGTGCTCTGAGGACTAATTAGAAGATGCGTACCACAGTGCCTGCATACAGTCGGCACTGTAAAATATGCTGGCATTCTCCTTCTCCAGTTGCAGTCAGAAAAGGAATTGTGGACTGCCCAGAGCTGAGTGGGTGCTCAGCATCTGCAATCCCTTCCTCCTATACGCAAACTAGGCTTTAAGAAATGATGATGACGCAAGGCTTCAGGGCTCTCGCCCGGCAAGACACCGCCCATAAAAGAAGACGTCCGAAAGCTACAGACCCTCTTTCTCACAGAGGAGTCTTATAGATCAGGAGAATAAAGACTTGCAAAAGCGACAGTACAACTGTAATTGAAGCCCTGGAGAACGGTCATGTTTCCATCTGTATTGTGATAATGAAGACAATGAGTAATTCAGGGGCCCTACAAAAGACAGTGAAGCTCATGCCTGAGTGTGCAGATGCAGTGTCTGCAGTACGTGGACCAAGCCTTGGGGGAAACTGGGCCACGGTTCTCCCTTTCACCTACTGCTAGGGAGACAGCCCAAGTCTGGGGTGGCCCAGGTGTGGAAGGGGGGACAGCAGAGTTGACTTCATTTCTCATCTCTCAATATTTCTGGTCTGTCCCCACATTACTTGGATTAAAATGTCCTTAGGAGAATTTGTTGCATGACTAAACCTCCCTCATGCCCCATGAAAAGTGAGCAGATGTGATCCCTTGGCTCCATCCCCTCTGGGTCCATACCACCCCGACTCACTGATGAGGCTTCTCCTGCTCTCTTCCTACACCCCAGGGCACGGCAAGTTAGCCCCGAGCAGGCTCTTGGCACTGCCCCAGATTCGCATTCTGCATAATACGAGCACTCGATGCCCAGCTGAGACTAGAGGAGATAACATGCAGGCAGCACCAAGCTCAGAGCCCACTGAACAGCAGAGCCAGGCTGGGTCACTTCCCACTTCCTCTCGCCACATCATGTGACCATCTCTGCCCTCCCCTTTGCAGTCTACACCCTTGGTTTCCTTCTACCTCCTCAACTCGGGGAGACTAACTTCACCCAGGTTATGGTCCGAAGACCAATCCACAAATAAGCTACCCAGTTTCCCAAGTAGTCCTCTCTTCAGTATTTCACTTAAAAGTCACTTTAACAAGTTTCAGATTTGAGTGGTCACAGTGACCTACACCTATAATCCCAGCTATTCACGAGGCTGAGGCAGGAGATCATATGTGTTTGAGGCCAGCCTGGGCAATTTAATAAGACCTTGCCTCAAAATTTTAAAAAAATGCCTGGTGATGTAGCCCAGTGGTAGAGTGCTTTCCTAACACATAGATGCCTCTGGATTCAATTTCTAATATTACAAAAAAAAGCCTCAGTCCTTAGGCTTTTTTCCTTCCTTTTCCCCTAAGGAAGAACAAGGAAAAGAAGAGATCTGAGAAAACATACATCCAGCTTACCTTGGGGAGGGGAAGTCCAGGATCCTACAGAGCACCTGACACCTGCTTAGCTCCTCAACATCACAGCAGACAGACAAGAGGCCCAGCACCTCGTTCCCTCATGGCTGTTTTCAGTGGCACTTCTGTCTTACTTTGGCTAAGTTGCCTCACAAGAGAAACCTCAGAAACTTGATCACGTTGTGCATCCACTGGCCTGACAGGTTAGAAAGCGTGTTAGGACGCAGACACAGGGAAGTCTGCACGCTCACCAGCAGCAACCGGGGAGCGTTGGGGGGAGAGTGGTGGAAAGGCTCGTGAGCCCCGAGTGCAAGTGGTACAGGGCACCTGGAGACATTCTGGATGCCATCAAGACAATGTTTGTAAGCTGTCATCAACTTCCTACAGTGCTGTCTAGAAGGTCTTACCCTAACAGAGCAATGGAATGGAAATGTCAAGCTTTTTGCAAGAGAACTCATGTGTGAAAGAAAAACCCCAGTGCGATGATCTTGAGGTAAGGTGTGACAGTGACCCATGGAATCTCCCAGCTCATGAAAGCTCCTCTAGTGTGCAGACAGAATAGGAGTAACAGCTGCAGCCCAACCAGAAAGGCAGCCAGGAAGCCAGAGGGGGTGGTTTCCTACTGCCCACTCTTAGGCAGCAAGAATACGGGCAGTTCAGATACTGCTCTTACGCGTCCCATACCTACAGAACCCTGCAGTGTCTTATTAAAAGGGAAAAAAGAAAGGAGTAACAAAAAAGCAAAATTAAACAAAGTAAAGCAGAGACAAACTCAGAGAAGTTAGGGGCGATGAGAACCAAGATCCTAATGCTTCCATCCTGTTCAGAAAATACTGCCAAATCCAAAACATCTAATAGGCCCATAATCTCCTGAAAACCCAAGCCAAGCAAGTAATTAGGTGAGGCTTCCCCTCGCCCCTGGGTGATTCTTCACACTGTGCTGACACCCATGCCCGCAGAACATCCCACAATGGCACGGTGACAATGCACCGTGCCAAGACAGGCTCTAGAGATGTCTAGGAGATTCAATTTAAAGGAAACATGCTAACAGGCAAGCAGAATAAGGGTATTCAAGGAAAATACATGTCTAGGTTGATCTGTTTATAACCAAAGAATGGGAGTACACCAAGGCTCCCCAAGAGATACAACTTTTGTACAATGAAAAATTCCATTTCCTACTTCTTAAGTTCGGTTTCCAAACCTACGAGCATCTTCTCTTCCACTATATGTAAGAAAATCCACAGCATTCTCTTTTCTCTGTCATGTAGGTCTCCTGTTTTTGCTTGTAACATTTATAAAAAGTATTCTTATACTCTGAAATCTTTATCAGTTCACATCATTCCTGGTTTCCCATCTGCAACCTTCTTGATCTTTCTTCTCTCTCTGCCATTTTCTTGATGTGCCAGTGTTGCAGTATGAAATTCAACAGGGAGGGCAGCGTTAGATGAGAACTTCCATCGTCTCCCCATCCGGGAACTCAGGCTTGTGCAGCAAGCTACTGACGCGGCCTCTGTGGTCCAGTGACTTCCCGTGGCCAAGGGAGTTCTCTGCCAAACAGAAAGGAGATATCAGCAGCCCATCCCTCAAGGAGGATTTTCTCTCACCAGTGGACGGAGGAAGGCCCTGTAATTAGCTGTACAGGGAAAAGCTGAACAATTGGATCAGGGTTCATATACAAACAAAAACAAGCAGGATGGTGGTGGGGGAGGAGTCAACTGGGTGCAGATGACACGGGGACCTCGTGTGAAGGCCCTTACACCCAGCCCTCCACACGACACCATCACATGCTCATGCTGAGCCAGGCACTTCTCACATGCTCCCCATCTTACTTGGAGAAGTGCATCCCAAGGATTACATTTCCAAAAAACGGTAACATTGTACTAGTCCATTTGGGGAACAAAAATACAGATCCCGGTGGAGACAGCTTATGTATGCCTCAAGGAACTCATCCCTCCTTGAATTCTTAAAAGGTGCTTTGCCTGTGACCACTATTAGTCCAGGGTCACGTCTATCTCTGTCTTGGCACTTCTGGACTCACTGCAAAGCCCCCCCCCCCACACTGTCATATTTTAAACAGCTCATTACCACCGGTCGAAGGGCTGTGCTGTAAGCTAACCTAACCTGAGTTAAGTCTACTTCCTTTTCAGTAAGGATGTCTTGCACTGAGGCCCAAATCCTCACCAAGTCCATGTGCTGGAGGCTACATCTATGAACCTGAGGACTCTGGGGACCTGGCCCCTCCCGGGCATAGCTCCCAAATGTACCAGAGGACAGCAATCCCTTCACGTTCCTCAGACAGTCTGTTTTTACCCCTTCTCAAGAAGGGCCAGTTATAAAGCATACATTCCCAGGGTGGACCCAAACTCCATACTCATTTTACATAGTAATAAATTAGAGGTGTTCATACACATTTTACCACTGTAATAACGAAGGGCGCACATAAACTAAAGGAGTTGGGATGACCATGATCATACAGTAGGTGTTGGTGGGTGCACCTACTCCCTTTCCAGGTCGAGGCACCTTCCCTTGGGCCACACAGTTCCCCGGGTTCTTGGAGTGTGGAGGCTGGGACCACATACCCAGTTTCTCTGTGGTTGCTTTGGCCACTGGGTGTTTCAGGACAGGGCTGTTGGAAGGGGTTGTGCTCAGCCTGCTGCGGCTGGGGAGGGAGGCCATGTTGGGCCAGAAGAGTTCGGTGCTCTTGTCTGTCTGGGTGCTGCTGTCCTTGCTGCCCGTCTTGGCATGGGCACTGCTGGCTGATGTGGCAGCGGCCGCAGGGGACAGTGTAGAAGCAGGCGGGATTGGCAGCAGTGGGGCAGAAGCATGTTCGTGGTGTTCTTTCCCCAGCAGCAACCCTGGTGGCAGAAGAAGAACTTTTCAATGACATTATTTTTTCCTTTAAAGATCACCCCCTTCTTGACTGAGGAATGCTTCATTCATTCAATAATTTATTCACCAAGCACACGGTAAGTACTAATTACGTATTTACTAAAATGATAAACACTGAAAGAATGAAAGTATGAGAGTCTCCTCTCTAAAATCCTGCAGTTGGGGAGTTGTCAAGTAAACTGGTTATATTATGGTAGAATGCAGGGTAACATCACTCATCTCCCCTCTAAAATCCTGCAGTTGGGAATTGTCAAGTAAACTGGTTATATTATGGTAGAATGCAGGGTAACATCATTCACAGCGTGGTGTGGAGAGCACAAAAGAGGTGCCTGACAGCCAGAATGTGAGCAGTGAGGACAGGCCCGCCAGGCTCTCTCAGGACCAAGCTCGCTTTACCTGACAGGAGCCAGAGGCTGGCCTGAAATATGGTTGTAAGCTTAAGAAAAACTGTAAGACCTTCTCAGTGCTCAATTATGTTTCCACTTGCCTTCTGCTCTTCAAATAATTCTTAATTCCATCTCATCCTTGCGAATGGATGAATCGTCTCCTGTAGGCCAGGTTAAAAAACAAATGTGCTCCCTAGTGGGGACGACCACTGAGTTGTACACACTATCCCCGCAAAGAGCTAAGCACCCAAGAAGCGGGAGGCCAGCTGGGCTCCTGGAGAGGCCTATTTAGCCCTCTCCTGCCCCATTCCAGCAGCGGGGAAGCTGGGATTGGGAAGAGGACATGCTGGCTGTGAGAAATGAAGGTGGTGTGCAGAGGTATCCATTTTCCTCAAAGCATTCCCACAGGGCCCGACAGACTTTCTTATTTGTAAATACCTTACCAATTCAGAAAAGTGCCAGTACTCTTGAACTCTAGCCTACAGGAAACGTGGTGAGCACAATCAAGCATCTGTACACTTATCTTGTCAACGAGCCAGCAGTTCCTAAAGTACCTTTGGCAGGGCTGTTTCAAGGTGCCACTCATTACTTGGAGCCTCTGCCTCTGTCTACAGCACGCATGCTTCGTGAAGTTCAAGGTGCCTATCCATCATCTGGCTCTGTGGTTAAAATGAAGGTTCAATTCTGGAACAAGGACCTGAGCTTCTGCCTTTCTAACGCACCTCCCGGCGGAGCAGGGCAGCTTGTCCACAGACCACACTTTGTGTAGCACAATCTTTGCTAGGGCCTTCCCACGTCACCTCACTTCACAGTTCACAACATTCCTGTGAGGTAGGTCTGACCCTCTGTCTGACAGGAGGATACTCAACTTCTCTCAGCCAAGAAGTAGCAGACATGAGCTTTGAACCCAGCTGTTCCTGACTGGGAGCAAACTATGTTCTTCCCACTCCTCTCCCTGCCTGTTCAGTCTGGCAGGATGCTCTCCCCGGGTGGGGCGCGGGTGCTGGGTATCACAGACCACCGGCCAGGCATCTGTCTGGGAAGCCCCTCAGCAATCAGGAAGGTGGATGCTGTCACCACCACCTCCTCCCAAAGCCTGTCAGGCAAGAGATGGTGAGACCGAGGAACTGCGAATGGCTCAAGACTATGTGGTTCTGCCTGCATCCTGAGTCCTGTGTTGTTTTTCTTACCTGTGGATACCAACTACAATGATGAGGAGAAATCAAGGTGTAAGCAACACTACCTCCTCATTCAAGCCATGGTCCAAGGCTCCCAGGCCAAATCCTCAGGGTACAGGCACAGACAGCAGACAGGGCTGCCTGGATGCTTGTCACAAACAGGCTTCTCCCAGGGAGGTTCCCTTCAGAGCTGGGAAAATTTCACACTCTTGTCCTCTAACTAGGCTGGCAGCTAAGTGTCCTTGGGTGGGTCTTTGAAGATCCCAGCTGCTGTCCACACATACCCTCTTTGAACTGCATTTCCTTTGAGGGCAGGGGCTGCTGAGGCCACCAGCAGAGGGACTTCAAACAGAGATTCTGGCGGGGAGCCTTTGATCCCCCCAACTCTGTCTGTTCATGTGGTAGCTCTTATCCCCTCTGGCACAAAACAGCCAGGCTCCTCTGGGATCCCATGCTGGGGAAAACTGGCTCTGTGCTCAATAAAGAAACAAAAACACAGCGAGCCAGGGATGTGCATCAAAGGAGGGTCAGACTCCTGGAGCTGGCAGAGTGCAGGGGAAGAGCACAGAGGACGTGCGTGTGCGTGTGTGCGTGCGTGCGTGTGTGTGCGTGCGTGTGTGCGTGCATGTGCGTGCGTGCATGCGTGTGTGTGCGCGCGCGTGTGCGTGTGCATGTGCGTTGTGTGTGCGTGCATGCGTGTGTGTGTGTGTGTGTGTGTGTGTGTGTGTGCGTGTGTGTGTCTGTATGCCGCTAGTTACTTCCTGTCCGGCTCACTGAGCCCCTAAAGCTACCTGGACAAAGACCACATTTGAGGAATTCTCAGAATTCTGCTGGGCAACAACGTATCAAAACCTACCACCAACCACGCTTATACTTGAGTGTTTCTTCCAGTGTATTTCCCCCTTACTCGTTTGGTCCTCCCGCACCCCCCGAGGCAAAGTGGGGCAGACGCTGTCCTCTCTTCCTACATGTGGAAGCAGAGGTAGAGCAGTCATAGAGCTGGTCCGGGGCACAGCCAAGTTCAGAGGCCTGATGTATAAGCACTTCTACCAGGACATTTTGTGTTGTCACCTCAAATTTCAACAATGATCAGTAACAGCTATGACATGAGCCAGCCATATTCTGCTGGCATAGCCTTTAGAATTTACATAGTGCTTCCACATATCTCATTTAATCTCCACAACTAGAGAATGATTTGCACACCTCCCCATTTCCCACATGAGGCCAGGAGGTATTGAGTGCTATAGTGGCAGGGAGGGCGCCTCTTAATGCTTGTGTGGCTTTGTTCTCCAGATCCTGGTCTGAAGGAGGGGCAGGGCTCACCTATGCTGCCCTTCCAGGTCTTCTCTTCCTTCTTCTCCTCAGCCAGCTGGCTGCTGGTAAGTGAGGTCTGGCGGGAGTGTGTCCCAGTGGCGGCTGCAATGGACGGGACAGAACGTGCTGGCCGCAGGCTTGAGGAGTCCGCCTTCCCAGCGTCTTTCCGGGATCGCTGCTGAAGCACTTTAATCATGGCATCCTTCTCTATGATTTTGGCATGTAGATTTTTAATACTGTACAACAGAACAAACAGACCCATAGAAAGATATTTGGTTAGACAAACGAAGTATTTCTCTCAGGGACTTGGACTGTCAGTCAGGGCTGGTGTGGCGGGGCCTATGGCAGTACAAGTCTTCAAATATTTACAGTCTTCACCCTGTCTAAGGTGGGTCTTCTCTGGCACCTCAGGAGATTCCGGGACTTTCGGGAGGTACAGTGAGAATGACTGTGGCCACCCACTAAGGACTTCTCGGACCAAGCTACTCAGGAGCCCCCACACTTGGCCAGTCTAGTATTGGGGTAAGGAGTGACAGGAAAACACAGAAACCCCGAGACATGACAAACAGGGTACGTCATTATCTGAGATCAATTTCTCTCCTTTCTGAAGGAAAAATGAAGAGATGGGCAGGCTCTCTGGGAGATTTTCCCTCACTCACTGATGGTCAAAAATGAGAACCAGTGAACATCTATGTTCTTTTCATGACTCTAATAATAATATGCTGAGCCTATCAATGGTTCAGCTAGGCAGCCCCATTTTCACATCTGTACCCTAGGAGGCTCGGACTCCCACAGCTCCACAGGTCCTCAGGTAGTCAAGGCAGGGAGGCTGATTTTATGTCAAAAACCTGCTGGAAACCATGTGTAGGCCATCAGAAGAGTACACTGGCTAAGCCAGCTCTTTCTCTCTGGCTGGAATATACAGACTCTGGCTCAGAAATCTCTGGGTATTTGGGATATGATGCTTTTTTCCCAGCTCACAATATATGGAAGGTGATAGAGACAGATGCCCAGAATTAATATGGGCATCTAAATCCTCCTGTCATTAGGTTTAGTCTCCACCTTACAACCTGCACTGACCTGAAATCATCCCCCAGAGAACTCCAAGACCGGCCCTCAGCTGAGTGGAATCACACGCTTAGCTGTGAACCTTCCCTTCTCTCCCAGGCAGTGTGTGCGGACCTCAAGCTCAGCCCTTTGGAACAGGGCAGAGAAGCAACTGTCCCTGGAAGGGCTGGCGTGTGAGTACAACAGGGGCCCCATCAGGGTATGGAGACGAGTAGTCACAGAGGCACCTGGTGCTTCGGTCACACATGGCTGTCCCTTACGTGTACTCCATGTCCTGACACCTCCTGTTGGCCTGCACCACCTCTTCCTCCTCCTGCCAGATGTGGGCCTCCAGCGAGCTCTCCCCGTAGCTCCCATTCCGCGAGTGGTTGATGATTGTGGTGTCCCTGGGAACACAGGACAGGCACTGGATCATCGGAAGCCTTCAGGTTTCCATGCAGACTCAGAATGGAGAGGCCAGGATTTGTTTCGGAGCAGAGATCTGCCTGACCCCTTCTACTGCCTCCTAAAGACCTTCCATCTGCACTTCCCCAGCTCTGCCACCATGCCCTCGGATGGAGATGCAGAGAATGGTGCAGGTGCTCGTGAGGTGCAGCCAAAGGGCACTGTGCTAAAACATCCTCCAAAACACCCTCCATTCACCTCCCCTGCCCTAAACCCTGGCTGGTTCTTTTCCTAAACTTGACTGATCTGAGACAGTATCTGAGGAAAACAAGATAAAATTCAGAAATCAAAATTCCATGTCTCTGCTACTAACAACATCACGCACTAAGCGATGTGGTATGTTGAAAATATACAGATGTAGATTAACACGTACAGATTTAATCTACTGGCACATGAATACTTTTATCATCATTACACTTGTTGGTGTGTCTATCTCATACTTTTAATTCTTGTTCTATTTTACTTTCTGATCATGAAGTTCTACTTCTGTGTCCTGCTATAGCAGCTATTTCAGTATTTTACAGTAAAGTGGGGTTCAGTAACTACTTGAAACTGAGATTAGTCCTCTCAGATGACTGAAGTCTTCCTTCACATTTACATTCCAATTTCCTTCTTGTTTTATGGGCTCCTGCCTAGAATTCAGATTAGGTCACAGCAGCAAACATGCTGGGTACCAGAGCAGAAAGATAGAAAATAGAAAGTTTAGTTGAGAAGAAAGGAAATATTGGTAGGTGGAAAAGCAGGTTAGCTGGAAGCAGGTATCTGGTAAAAAATAACTATTTGTACCCTGGATGTCAACTTAATTATTGCTAATTAACCGTGACAGGTAATGGGGTCATCTATGTGATGTACCTTAGAATGAAGGCATTGAAGCCTCCGATTATGTGAATACTAAATTCATAATGATGCAGCTAAATATTTCACCCCTTTTTAACTCCATTTTTTAATATTGTAATCATATTGAAAACTTCAAAGCTCTTTTCTAGAATACTCGAAAGTAGCAAAAATGAGGTCCTTCTTCTTTTAACTCCTTTTAAGGAGAGCTATTAGTGAGTGAGCATCTACTTTATGCAGGGATTGGATACAACACAGTACACATGGTCCCTCACTTAGTTTTTGTTTTCTTTTTGCTTCTGGTGCTGAAGAGTGAACCAAGAGCATTCAGCATGTAAGGCAAACACTTTCTCGTGGAGCTAAACCTCAGCCCTCTCACTTAGTTCTTATATGTGCAGTAGATATGCTATCCCTGGTTCAGAGATGAAGAGACCAGAGTTAGGTGACTTTTCCAAGAATACTCAGTTAGTGAATGGTGGAAAGGATTCAAATCCAAAGGTGAACAACTCCAAAGTCCTTAGCCTTTCTTCAACACCCCTGGAAGTTGCATTTGTGCTTATAAAGGCCTCAGTAAAGATGCATAAAGATAAAATGAAGAAGGGAGCATATGTAGGAATGTGCTGCAAAAAATGCAAGCTGGTGCTGAAAATGCATCCTAAAAACAAATAATAGATAAAACAAACAAAATACTTTAAATGTATTTATAAAATTATCAATTCACCCTATGATACAGAAAAACCATCAGTATTAGTGGCTGAAAACATTTTCAACCAATTTATTTTGGGGGAACTCACCTAGAACCAGAGACAAATTTAAAAGTTCATATTTATACTGTCCAATAAGGATAGCAGGCACAATTGGACAGTAGATAAGTGTGCAATTAGGTGACAATTGCTTTGCAATTTGTAAAATGTTTCAAACCCCCCACACACATAAAAAAATAAGCTCAACCTCTAAAAATTCTGATCAATGACATCAAGATATGTAGAGATGTAAAACTCTTGGTACGCAAGAATTATATTCTTAGTTTAAAAGTCATTTCTTATAAACATGAAGCATGCACCAGCAGCTGAAAATTCACAGGGCTAATGGGTAGAAATAGTCACCTTTACCAATTTATCTGCACCCACTTAGCATCTAGATATAAAAAGCTAAAACATGTTTCGTTTTTCTCACTCATCATCAACAGACAAGTAATGTTTAAATTTCAAAGCTTCCTTTGAAAGGATATTAAGGCTGGTACTACATTTCTGAGTGTCTCTGAACCCATCCCCCTTCCTCTCTCTGATGGTTGGAGGAAATAGGTCCTTAAGTGGAGGGGAGGGTGGTTTCCCAAGTGTTATCAAGTAGTTGACGAATATACATGGAAAAAAAAGGGACAGAAAGAGGGATGGTGGAAAGGACTCCATCCATCCATAAATGACTACAAATAGGACAGAAGAACAGTATGGCTGGGAAAATCCCACAGAGCTTCCACCCTCTGGGATAAGCTCCATTTCCACTGGTCTGAGGGATGGTGGACAAGGCTGGGGACAGAGTCTGAAGGGGTGGTGATGGTGCTTGGGGTCTATATGGTTCTGCTTACCTCCCACCCTCCCCGTGCAGGCCTGTTCACCCCAAACTCAGAATGTACATTCCAGCCCCTTCATCTGCTCAGGGCCCAGGATCCCAAGCAGATATCTCACCTGACAAGTCAGCAGAAGGTGGACCAACAGTGACTCATGAAGGCCCTGTGTCATCCCCCAAGGAAACACATTTACACCATTTGGGGCTTTAGCGTCTTCAGCCAGAGGAATGTGGCTGGGTCCCCTGCTCGCTACCAGTCCAGAATTGCTACTTCCACTTCACATGAGGTCAGTGACTCTCAGAAGTGCTTATCCCAGTCACACGGCCACAGTCTGACGGAAGGAGAAGCTGTGAACACTAACGACCACCTCCCTGCACAGTGATCTTGCGCTGAACCCAGACACAGAAAGCAAACACCCAGGGCAATCACATGGACACGATGTGTTAGCCCCAGGCCCTCTGCAACTTCACAATGTTTCTTCTCTTCTCAGGCTAGAGAAGTAATTCCCTTGTTAGTTTATTTTAAGGATGTGAAAATCAAGAAATGTTTCAAAGGGCTTCACTATTGCCACCTGTAGAGTGCAGGACTGAGCTGGAAGCTGCACCTTCCTCCAACTCTCACCCCTTAACCTTGGAGTTTCTGAATCTCTCTCAGGACTTTATTCCCACTGTCAGAGTTTCACTCTGATGGATACTGGTGGGTGGTCTGCCTGCACAGCACAGACATGAGTAACTGCTAGAAAATGACTCCAAAATGTTAATTTTCCACATGAGTCTGCTGTCTTGCCAAGTTCAAGGGTGCTAGGGAGCTCAGTGGAGGCATCTATGCCCACGTGGTGGCACTGCTTTCTCTAATTTCTAGAGCATACGTCTGGGATTCTTCTCTACTTGAATAATGAACCTGAAAGCCCATAAGCAGCTTATAAAGCACCTCTCCCTCAATCCTAGCGTGTCTTCTCACACTCACTAAAGAAAAAATAAGCCATCCAAAGGCGATATGGACCTGACTACATAACCAACTGCATCCTTACTTTTATTCCCATCACCTGGGCCACATACCTCCAAGTTGAATGAATAAGAATACCCCTTATTTAGTAAGATGTCGAGCTTTCTCAATGCTCCTTCTATTACAGACAGCTAAGCTAGGTAGAAATATTCTAGGCAGACAGACAGGACTAGGTCCTTGAGAGCCAATGCAGAAGATGAAAACACATTAGAACTGTGGTCAGAGGTGCATCTGTTGGAGGCCAGGACTCAAGATTGCTTCCCCAAGGGATAAGGTAAGTGGTAACAACTAGCCAATAAAGTCTAGACAGACATCAGTCACCTCAGTTGGTGATCAAGTCCCCTGGACCCGCCCTTCCTGGAAAATTCTTCGTTGTTTCCATGTACACTTGCTACATGACCTGCTTCGTCACTGGATCAATATTACCTAAGTGGCTATACTTATCATCTTATTGACTGATCATAGCTTTAGCCCACACTGTACCTACTGTATGATTTTGCTCTATAAAACTTCCTCTGTGAAGTGGGGTCCACGGCAACCCACTCAAGTTCCTTCCTGTCTCTCAGGAGCTATCTCTCTCTCTCAATAAAATTTCCTACTCTTAACCTCCACTGTTCCTTAGACTTCTTTCTTTGACTGGAACACAGACTCGGCATATCAGACATCTACAGGGGGAGTTGTATTTATTTCCCCTATATAATCTGAAGGTCCTATATCCCTTTGAAATTAGACAATCTCCTCCCAATGTACTGACTCCCAACTTTGGTGACTTCCAAACAACAAATGCGCAACGTGACTTCCAAGAAAAAGCACGCTGCGTGAACGGGAGCGAGGGGCTTGGCAGCTGAGGCTCCTCAGCCTAAGAGCAAGGCCGCGGCCCCGCCTGTGCAGACAGCAGTCTTTGTGAGGTACTTGTGTGGATGAGGGTATGTACTGAGCTAATTCTGAAAGAAGAATAAGGCTGTGTACCTACAGAGAGAAGTACAGCAACGGAGGTGTACGCTGACAGTGGCAAAAAAAGATTTCAAAGTAAGTGAATCAGGTTTTAAGTCAGACAGATCACTGGTCCACTGCTAACTACCAGCTCTTTGGAAGCTGGATTCAGGATTTTGAATCAACCACCGTGCCTCTCTCAGGCTTGTCTTCTTCACTTGTAAAACGAGGGTGAGAAAAGTACCTGCTCTCAGGGCTGCCATGAGAGCTAGGTGTTCTCGTCCCAGCCATAAAACAGACTCAGTGTTAAAAGATTCATAAAATACTCTTCCCCAACATCATTCTTAAAGATCACACAGTATTCCACTATATGTATGTACTTTATTAAGTGAGTTTCCTCTTGGACTCCAAGCTGTTTCAAATGTTCTGTATTTTAAATAGCACTGGGTGATCATCCTTGGACATAACTCTTTAGGCATTCGTGTTGGCTTCCATAAGACAACTATTTAGAACTAGAATTTTGGAACCAAAGGGAGGGTACCTATAGCCAAGTTATCCTCCAGGACTGTTACACCACCTTTCTCTCCAACTAGCAATACAGTCACTTAAACGTCATCTTCAGCTGTCCTTGCTCCCCAGGACGGGCCTCTGGACCTCTCTGGACCCATGTGCTTTGTTCTGATGCGCATTCCAGTGATGCTCCTGTCTGGCAGTGTTACCGTCTCACCTCTCAGCTGCAGCAGTGGCTGCGGCATTCATGGCGAAGTGTCGGATGGTGCTCTCCTCCAGGTACTTCTGCTCCCACTTGGTCATGTCAGCCTCTAGGGCCAGGATCCTCTCCTCCTTCTCCCGAACAAGTTCCATGAGGGCCGGAGCGTTGTATTCTGGCACACCAGCTTGATGGCCATTTCCATGTTTCTAAAGGGGCAGAAATAACATGCTGATCCTCAGAATGGGCTACAAGGTAGACCACATCAGCCAGGTCTGCACCGCTATCTGCAGAGCCCAGCGGTGCCCCAGACCCTGTGGCAGTTCACATCACGCCCGCGCTCCCTCTCTGCAGTGTATACGACCCGAAGGCTGTGGATCCTCACACTGTGCCACCTCACCTCTATGTTTCTCTGTCCCACCTAATACTCATGCAGCTCTGTAACAGACAACATTACACTAATTTTACAGAAAAAACCTAAGCTTCAGAGAGGCTGAGTTAATGGTTTGTTTTCTCTCAAGCAATCAGTAGTAGAAAGAAGATACAAAGCCAGGTCTAGCTTCACCCCTCAAGAACTTTGCATGACAAAAAGTATCTTGTCCAAGGTCATTCAGTTAATTTACATCAAAAGCAAGAGAAGGAATTAAGCCTTGGCCTCCTGGCCTGGGCTACTTTCTCTAGAATTCATGGGAGTGATCCCAGATGTTTATTTCTTGTGAGACTAGGTGATAACAATGAAAGGCAGAGTAAGTAGGACTGAGAACCCTGAATACGCCTGCTTTCAGCTGTGGGCTCTGATCTGGGAAAAGAACCATCAAGACCTACCCCATTAGAGAATGAAAAGCAAATTAGATAATGCTGAAGGCAGAGCATCTCTAATGCAAGACCAGCTCGTTTTTCAGCACTTTCTTTTCATCTGTATCAGCAAGAGGAAATAAAGTGATGTTATCTGGACTGCTCAAAAGCTGAGAATATTCATATTTCGGATGTTTCTTTTAACTCAGGGATGCTATTTATCTAAAGAACATGATGTAAGAGATGATGGGGCTTTGAAGAAGTTCTGACTTCAGCCCAGCAGCACAGACAGGAGATCTCAGCACCTCAGTGTGCTGGGCCCTGTCTGAGTGTGAGCCAGAAAAGAATGATTTCAATCCGGCTGATTTACATCCTGGGACTTGCATTTTCCTCATGCTTTCCAGTGATCACAAATTTTAAGTGCAATTTAAAAGAGCTCATTGCAAGGTAAGAGGTATTTGAACACTTTACCCAGAACCATTTGAGCCCTAAATTATGAAGAGGGCTGGAAAATTACCTAGAGCAACAGCTGGGCATTGGAGCTGCACTGGCGGAACAAATCCTACCACAGAAGAGAACAAACAGACCTGTGAGATCTTTTTGTAAACCATACATTTCTATTCAATGTGTTTAAAACTCCAAATGTAAATTATTTTAACAAGTGGCAGCTTAACACTGAGCAATATTTAAGTAAGAAGAGAGTAGATGGCACATCTCTGTCCTCACCTGACCTGTACAGGAAGTCTCTGACCCCAGCTGGCCAGGCACATGGATTAAGGCAGGAAGATAGATGACAAAGTGCTCTGTTTTTAGAAACTTTTCCAGAAAGAGCTCCCATGGCTTCACCAAGCTGCCACCTATGGTTGTCATTTTCTATCTAAATCTTCTGTTACCTTGTCAGCTGGCTTATTTCTGCAGAATCCTCTCGCCCTCCCATGAGATCATGACAACTCTTCACAGGCCCCCAACTCTGGTCTAATATTAACAGTTGTTTAATAAATGCATGAATTTCAGTACTGAAGCACACAGAGAACCAGGATCTAATGGGTAATTGTGCTACTCTGAAAATCAACCCAAGGCCAGGCAGGACACCTTCTAAAGCCCATTTAGCTAGTCGACAAATATTTACCAAGCACATACCATGTGCTGGGGGTACAACAGTGGTGACCAAGACAGACGAAATCTTTACCTTCCGTGCTTACATCAAAGATGCCCCAATGAGCTATACGACCCTGGCCTTGCCCCTGTGCCTCACTGCCTTCTTCTGTAACATTCTCACCTTCCCTAACGGGAGCTCATAGGACTACCATGAAAGAAAGATGTAAAATTACTTTGAGCTCTTTATAAAAAAAGATACCACTGGGAATTCTTAAAATGCAAATTCCCCTCCCTCCTATTCCTCTATTTGTTTGTTTCTCCCAGCTCTCTGTTTCTAATGATTCTGAAATACTGCATCGTCTCCCATGACGGAGGAAAGATGACATACTATAATGACTGTCAAGTAACAGCTCCCTTCCTGCCAATCCTACTGTCCTGACCCGTCGCTCTTTCCTTCTTCAATTGGCTACACCTCTGTAATCCTTTTTTCCACTGGAAAAGTGAGAAAAGTGAAGAATTTGGGAGATGGCAGCAAGGATCCCCTAGGTCTAAAATGACTCTGAAGGCAATGACATGCATTAGAGCAGCAGTGAGTTATTCCCTCTTACTCAACTGCTAAGTGCCAGGCACTGTGACAGGCATTTTGTGCAGAGCTCCTTTTTTTTTTTTTTTCTTGTCTTTTTGAGACAGGGTCTCTTTATGCAGTTCAGGCTGGCCTTGAGTTCACTTTATAGGCCAGGCTGGTCTCGAACTTGCAATGATCCTCCTGCCTCAGCCTCCCAAGTGCTGGGATTACAGGCGTGCGCCACCATGCCCAGCTTTTTTTTTGTTTTTGGGGGGGTTTTTTTGGGTACCAGGAATCGAACTCACGACCTTGCACTTGCGAGGCAGGCGCTGTGCCGCTGAGCTAAATCCCCAACCCCAGAGTTCCTTAACTTTAGGTACAAGTTTGAGTGCTGGGCACGGTGGTGCAGACCTGTAATAACAGCAGTCAGGAGGCTGAGGCAGGAGGACCACTGCCAGTTTGATGCCAGACTAGGCTACATAGTGAGTTCAAGGCCAGGCAAATCATACAGGATTCCATGGCACTTGGAGTGTCCCACCCTTCTAGAAGAGTCCAGGGCACCTCACAGGAGCCTCCCTGGAGCGCGCTGGGGGCTCTGTGTTCTTAAGGAGAGCCGGTGGAGAGACAGCTGTGTCCTGACATTAGGCTAAGGGCACAGCCCTTATGTGGGTGATAGTCCATCAAGTGTTCTAAGCCACTCTCAGGTGTCTTCAAAGTTACATCCTGAGGGGGGTGGCAATCTCACTGTTCACAGAAGGTGGGGATGACTCGGGCTTTGTTACAAAGGGGTGACCTCAGCATGATTTCTAAAAGGGTCAGATAAATGTGTCATTGTCACGGGGGCAAAGGAACAGAGTGTGGCATGGGCTGGGGAAGCTCTCCCGAGGCTGCCCGTGTCTGCACAGAAAGGGGCAGACACATGCGTGCCGTTCAAGTGTGAACAGAAAACCAGAGGCCTCTGGGGCAGCTTTTCTCAGAAAAGCAGTTTCTCAGATGATTCTGTGTTCCAGAATGGGCTGCAGTCTGAGGGCACTGACAGAGCGGCTCCCACATCGTCCACAGGCCCCAGACATCAGTGTGAGCAGACTCTACCTTTACAGCATCTACCACATGGCACTGGTGAAAAAGTCGTAATTCTATGAACTTCGTGATTTTAAGAAATTGTGTGTATGCATTTTTGTAATAGCACTTATACCTTTTCTGGTTCTAGAAAAATATACAGTTACTGGTGATATTAGAAATAAAGAAGTATTAAAAGGAAAAATAAAATACCTATTTTTTAAATCGGCACGTAAGAGGAACAGGAAAATCTGAATGTATTTCATGTCATAGGAGACATATTAATATGTACTCTCATAAAAAAATACAAACGGTATTATTTGTGGAGAGATGCTGAGCATCAAATTCTGTTCAGTCTTAAAGACTGTCTTCCCCTCTGGTCGCCTGCCGGCCACACACAGCTGGGGATCTGCTATCAGTCCTGAAGACAAACCCAAAGGGCAAGTAGGGTAATTTCCCCTGGGGCCCCCAGTTCTGATGCTGCGGGCTTCAGCAGGGTACCTCATCTTCTCAGCCTCTGCACACGGCACAAGCGTGCTGTTGCTGGCCTGAGGACGGGTATGGGTGAGCACACGTGGGTCTGAATGCACATACAGTGAGCTGTCCTCTGTGGAAACAAGGGTAATTTTCCCAGGCAGGCTCTTGTGCCACTGAGCTATATCCCTGGCCCTAATAAGGGTATTTTTTAAGTAACTCCAGAGTCCCATTTCTTCTTGATACATGACAAGGATAAGAGAGTTGAGTCTGGTTCCACAGCACTCAAAATAGAAAAGCCAAGAGTAAGTGTTCTAATTGTAGGGTGTGGATAGCACATTAATTGCAGGAGAACACTCTTCTTGGCTCTAAGATTTGAGATGTGCCTATCACACCAGCCAGAAACTTGTTTGAATCTACCATGCTTGGGACCAGAAAGGCCCTGCTCTCATGTTGGGAAGGTCCAGATCTCAATAGCCGAGTAACGGAACAGTGGAAGGTCTCATCTGGTGCCAGGGTATGTGGCAAAGGTTGTAATATCAGAAGACAGGAAAAGGATCCACCCTTCCTCACAAGCCATGGACTGAGCCAAGGTGCTGGAGGCCGGGGAGGGTTTCTTCATCTTCTGGGCAGTCTCAGTAACACTTGCTTTGTTGGCCAAGTGCACACACCAGAGGGAACTGCACGGGTCTGCGATGCAGGAGGGCTGAGCTGGCCTGAGGACATGCTTTCAAGCGTTGCAACCACAATTACCAGGCCCTGATGGAGCCTGCCTTACACTGCCTGGCAACCCAACCGAAAGCAAACCTGTCGTCACCGCATAATGGACTGTGCCTACCATACTAGCTAGCGGATGATGGAGAAGCCCAGCCTCAGTGGCAGCCGGGAGCACCTGGCCACAGCATTCTCCCCCACGCTTTCTCATAGCTGAGTGACTTTATCAGCTGTTATTGGCAGAGGAGAGGCAGAAGGACTTGCAGCTTATGGCCAGTATTACTTCCCAGGGGTGGTCCTGAACTCCTTCCCTCAATTCCCTCTGAAAACTCAGTGATTACAACGTCCTATTAATTTCCCCCTTTACTAGCTCTTGCCTCTAGCTCTTCCACGGACTCCCACTCTCACTGTAACCAAGACCACGCCAAGAGTCTTCAGACAGGCCTCTCTACTTCACCATCTGCCCACCAAGGTACTGACTGTAGTTTCCCCTTTTGATTGCTGGAGGAAGCCCATTCTCTCCACTGGATCAAATGCCTTCCACAAATAGGCACTGTCCCCTCACCGGCCACCTCGAGGGCCGGTCCCCACGGCACCCAGCTGCTCTGCACTGGCCCTGCCGCTTCATGACCCTCTCCTTTACATGTGTTCTGTGTTCTTGGCCCTGAATGTCCAACACAGCCACCCTTCAAAGTCCAGAAGCCACCTTCCCTGCCACAGCCCCAAAGGGGTGATTCCCATCTCTTTCTGTAAGCAAGTATGTTTCACCATCGTGAGTGGACCTCCCACCGCCCCTCTGGTGGCCAGGTTTCAGGACAGGGAGTTCAGGCCCCTCAGTGTAGGGAGCACTGGCTGGCTCTCGAGGGCACTGCATGTTTGGTGAATGAGCTTAATTCACCTGCTGGGTCCGCAGCGCATCCAGCTCTCTTTCCAGCCAGGTCCGCAGCCTGCGCTCCATCTGCTCTCGCTTCTCACACGCAGACTGCAGCTGTGTCAGGGCCTGCTGCAGCTTCTCCACCTTCTCCACATACGCTTGTTTCTCTCGTAGCTGAGTGGAAAAGAGCAAAAAGCATGGAGGTGAGCCCCATGATTGTCAGCACTGGCATGGAGGTGGGAGCGAGGCAGACTTCCTGGAAGTCCTTCTTAACGTGCAGGTGTGGGCGCCTCCCTTCTCTCCCTCAGGTGTTCTCTGACAAAAAAGTTTTATGCAAGGGCCATCAGTTATGGCTAGGATGTTTGGGATGGAAGACCTTGATGGGGCGCTTGCCTGTGGTAATTTGTACAGCTTTGAGCTTAATGCTTGGTCATTCCTTAACAATTATACCATTTGTAGGCACTGGAAATGAAGTTAATGAAGAGCTTTTAATACCATGAAGTGATGTTAAATTGAATGATGTTAAATCTATGATATATCTATGATGTTAAATGAAAAAACCCAAATAAAAAGTTACATACATTAGCATAACCATTTTTGTCTTTCTATATATTGGTCCATGAATAAAAATACTAGGAATAAATATTTAAAGCATTAACTATGTTTATCTCTATGGCTGAATAGTAATTACTGTGTAAACAATATTCGGTATAAAGAATAAATAATTTTAATTTTAATTTTTCTTTGATAAATATACTTTGCTATAATGCAATTATATGTATATATATATATGCATGTATACCCATTTGTGTATAAAGATTTACTCTAAATATTTATGGACTGAAGATTTCAGAGATTTTGAGTCATTGACAATCCTGAAGAGACAGGAAAGACATAATGAATACCCAACAAAATGACTTCAGGAAATGGAAATTAAGCTTAAAGTGATTTAAAGGATTTAAAATCATGAACCATTACTTTAAACTCGTACCCAAACTGTTTTCTCCTAATGCTCATAAATCCAGACACGTTTCTATCATTCTAAGAGTAGGCTGGTGCCAAAAATCAGGGTGAGACACTCACCAGACCTGGTCCTGGGTGAGAAGACACCAGCTGCTATTTCCGGTTATTCTGCACTGAGTGTGCAGATGCCTTGTAGAAGACTCAGTCCTGAACTCAAGCCTTGACCACACCGGCAACCTGCAATATGCTAGTGACCAGCAGCTTGTTGCTACGTGAGATTTCTGACTTAGTAGGAAGCACTGCCATGAGCTGGGTTTCTGTCTTTTCTTATCTAAAGCCACTGGAATAAAATGGAGATGCTTCTCATCTTTCATGGAATGGACATCAACTTAACAGATATTTATATACCTGTTTTGGGGTCAGTTTTTACATGGCCTTTTTTGACTGTTCAATTCAATTTAGTACACTTTTCAGAATCTTCTAAGTGCAAGCTACGCAATTCTCAGAAGCCTCATTGGGTCATTCATACAGCACTTACCATGTCTTCTACTGCATACAACTTTCTGAATGCATAGCTCCCAGATTATAAGCACTGCGAGACTTGTCTACTTTGGTCCCTGCTGGGCAGAGTGAACAGCGTATGCTCGATGCCTAGAACAGTCCCTGGGCACCCAATATGTGCTTGTTTAATGAGTACATGAATGAACACCATCCCTAAGCTACATCAAGATCCTCAAAGGCATGGTTCTGTCTCCTTCACCTTCATGTAAACCTGAAGTCTAGCATGGAGCATGTAACAGTGAGGATGATTAATAACAGTGGCTATATCAGCCAACATTTTCTGAGCAGTACAACATCAGGCCTTGCTCTCTATAAGCAGTTCTCACTGAACCCTCCCAATGACAGTAAGAGGTGAAGTCTTTTATTATTCCATTTAGGAGAGGAGAAAGCTGAGGACAAACAAGCCAAGTGACTTGCTGAAGGTCACACAGCTGGTGTGTCACGGAGCTCATGCACCCTATTCCAGCAGCCTGGTTCTCCTGTGTGCTCTTAACCCGCACGATGAACTATGGTAAGCTCTGGGTCTCAGTCATCTGGACTGAATTAAGATCTTTTGGAAGAAACTACTATGAGGAAGGAGTGAGATGGGAAGCCAGACACATGAGTCACTCTGGAGAGGCTTCATTCAATTAAACAAAGATATTACTTAAAAACAATGACAAGAAAAGGCCATAATGGTGATTTTGGAGAACCTAAGGGACTCCTAAAATTTTTTAAAAACTTGTAGTTTCCCTTCACTCCACACATGGACGTGGATCCTCAAGAAGCAAATTCAGGGATGACAAAATAAGGAGTACAGGTCTCCCTTGCTCAGAGTAGGCCTCCTGGCCTCAAGGGGGTAAGGTCAATTTCTGTGGCAACAAGGAAGATACTCTGGGCTGCTGCCTGGGAACCTCCTGCTACTGTGAAAACCATAGTTTCTACGTAGGACTTGTAGGATTTAAAAGCTTCTAATGGACATGGCCCTTGTATACATAAAAATCTTCCTCTGTAGCAGTATCACCCTTGCTGTTGAAGTTTGCAGAGATATCTCTGTGACCTTCATCAGGAGATGCTATTTGACAATAACAGCCCCCCCCATGTTGTTGGAAAAGTAGTAAGTAGAATTAATAACAACAGTAGGATTAATAACATTACTGTTTTCTGTATTCCAAGCACAAGGCTATGTACTGATATAGACTATCTCAGTTAAATCTCAAGACTGAGTGTCTACTCCCCGCAGTAGATCCTGCTCCAGTCCAGCCCCCGTAACATAGAGGGGCCACCACAGGGTGCTGAAGGTGCAAGTACAGGCTCTGGTCCTTGGGGCGACACCTCTCCTCCTCTTACCTCTACATCCGGATCCCCTAGGGTGGACCTTAGAAATGGTTGCTCTGATGCCTCATTCCACTTTAAAGAGAGAGTCCACCTCACCAAAGTTAAGGGGTTGACTTCATCAGAAATTACCAAATCCACAGTGCTTGAATGGCATCATATACTCTTGGATGGGGGTCACAGGGTACTGCATGGCCATGCCAGCTTCTGCAAACTGGAGACAGACTTGCTGAACACCACCCCCACCCCACATCATTAGACAACTTTTGCTTCTTCTATGCATTGGAACTCCAAAGACACAGCAATTGGGCTATTTTTAAAAAACTGTTTGTCTCTCTGCTGAAAAGGCACCAGTAGTTTCCAGTCCTTCCATTTATTTCCAGTCCAACAGGCTTTAGGCCGGGCCCTCAGGCTGTGAGCTCTTTGTGATGGCATTCATGTACGCCTTTCATACTCCGCCCGCTCTGGGGTAGATAAATTCTGCTTTTATTCATTTTTACTTGGGAGGTTTTCAACACCCACCTTCCCCCAGTGTCAGGTCTTTATAACTGGCTCTGTTTAAAGTAGCTGAGTTAGGCAAAGGAAGTGGAGGCCCTCTAGACTCTGCCTCCCTCTCCAGCCCCAACCCCGCAGCCTAGTCTCACCTCCTCTTCCAGCTTGATGACTCTGGCCTGGGCATTGCTCAAGGCCTGGTCCAGGATCTCAATGTGTCTCCGATGGTCCTCACTTGCAGTCCGCACTGCTGCTAACTCCATTTCTAACTTCTCCTTTTCCTTCAAGAATTCTTTATCTATAAGGGAGAAAAGAACAAACTACCTCTCTCAGAAAGTGCTCAGTCTCTGGGCTCCCTGCCAGTCTACATCTGGCAAGGATTAGGAATAAAAAAGCATGCAAACAGTAAAGGGTTGAATTACTGCTATTGCTCCCTCTTAATTGCAGTGGTGTGTAAGGTGAGAACTTTCTCAAAAACCACCGTTAACCCTAGAAACATTCCAGGTCACAGTTGCAGAGATCAGGAGCAAAAAGAACTAGCAAGCCCATATTCTCTATAACTCACTCTCCTACAACGCTGATTTTAACGTTTCTAATTAGTCTTGTACCTACTGTTTTCATTTTATGCTCACAACTTTTCCTGACTGCATCTTCCAAGCGTATGACAAAAGGGCAGGCATTTCAGTAGTAATAATATTCTCATTTATAGAAAAACAGATGATGAGCTCTTTGTCTCAGGTCAGACATCAGGGGGAGCTTCAAAGCCAGGGCTCCAATCTCCAGCTTGATCCTCTTCCCACATGATCTGGCCATGCATTTTCTTAGTTCTGATCAAGGGGGGAAGGGACAATGCTTTGGATTTAAGAAAACTGCCCTTCTTTCATGTAACGTGAATGCAACAATAATCATAGCCTCTTTGCATGTGGGATCCAGGCTGGTGTGCCCTTAGTCACCTCTTTCCACCTTCTGATACATCCTTCTGTTCCAAATTAAGCAAGAGAGGTCTGCAGTGCCATGGGAATGGACATTTCTTATGGCAAACATGTTTTCTGTTACAAAAGCAATACACTTTCTTTTTAAAATAAATTATTTAGGTATGTTTTTTATAAGAACTTATAAGACTAAGGGATTGGTGAAATCAACTACTGTAAACTCTAGAATAAAATAGCATGCAGCCATGAAAATTAAATAAGAGAACATTAATGACATGGAAAAAACTTTATTATTGATAAGAACTGGTCATTGGGGCTGGGGATTTAGTTCAGCGGCAAAGCGCCTGCCTGGCAAGCGCCAGGTCGTGAGTTCGGTTCCTGGTACCGGAGAAAAACCAAAAAAAAAAAAAAAAAAGAACTGGTCATAAAATCATATGCACATTATTTCATAGTCACAGAAAGTGAGATACATAATCACGGCAATAGTAGTAGTTGGAAACTGATTTCTGAGTACCCACATCATTCAAATGCTTCACACCAGATACCACAGTTCTTAGCAACCCTGAGAGTCCAAGACAGGAAGGTGCATCAACATGTGAACAGTGGATGGACTCATCCACTAGCTCCTCCTATACAGAGTCATTTACTAGTTTAACAAATTGCTACTGGACATTAGCTTGGGAGGAATAGAAAGAATGGTGCACTAAAGGGGCAGAAAACGTGGTTTTGAATACAAGACATGAAAATTGAAAAGACACTATAACACTACAAATATCAGATAACAAAATCATGACTTTACAGCCAGAAGGGATTGCAGAACACATCAACATCCAGTGAGAAAAGGGAAGTCCAGGTAAGCAAAGTGCCTTGTCCAGAATTCCACTGCCAGCTATGGCAAAGCCAGGGCCAGAATCTGGGACTCCTGGCGTCCCACTAGGATGTCATTTCCTCTTGACTGCACTGTCTTTGCATTTCGAAGTTATGTCAGTGGTATCAGAGGGTAATGGAACAGCCTCTGAACAGACTGAATGACCAGACTTGGAAAGCTCACTTGTGGCTATGTGTCCTAGAAACAAAAGCAGGCCCTAAAAAACAAAATGGGGCCACCAAGACTCTCCATAGAATAGAACGCTGTTTTTAGGTTTTATACCCCACTGCAGTGACAGAGAGGCAGACTTTGTATTTTCCTAATGCATGTTCTCAAAAACTACCTCCCCTCTGAGAGCATGCAGAGAGATGTGTTGCAGAAGAGCCCCGTCACAATGTGGTTCATTACTGTACACATTTAAGTGTGCTGTAAATCATATTTCTCAAAACACAGCAATTACATTCACATGTGTGTCTGTTAACAACTATTCCTTACGCATCTATTACAAGTAGATGCTTGTTGGTTAAAAACAATTCCGGACACAAACTGTTTGAGTTTATATCCACCTTTTCACTTACAGTTTTGTGACTTTCAAAGTAAACAAGCCTCCCTTTTCCTTAGTTTTTATGCCTTTAAAGGATCACCACACTACCTACTTCAAAAACCACACAGTAAGACCCAATAAACGTCAACTATGATAATGAGACAGAGAAGTGCCTGACTCTCATTTTTCCTGTGCTGGTCAGACTGGGGGGCATGGTTTAGCTGGTGGCTATTGCATCCCTTCCCTCTGATTCATTCCCCCACAACCCTGCCATAGACTTATTGTCCTCCTTGGTTATTCAGCAGATACCCTTTTCCAGTTTGCTCTGACATGAGCGCAGCAAGGCTGTCAGCTGTGATGCTTCTCTCCTGCTTCTGCTACTTTATATGATGGAGGAGATAGCACCATGGTATAGCTAATATGGGGGGCGGGGATCTGGGCCCACTGTTAATATCCCTACCCTTCTTAAACTCCAATTACTTGTGATGCACACAGCCAGCCTTCTGAAGATTCCCCACTTTCAGCTCCGCCATTTTTCCCAGAGATATGACAGCTGTCAATCAAATAGCTTCTATTACCTTTACTGACTTACAGTCATAACAGCTGCCACTGTGCTGGAAGCCTGCACTCACTTGGACCAGTCACAGGCCAGTGTTTGAACCAATTAACAGGCTCAAATTTGAACCAACTGAGGGCCTGCACTTGGACCAATCACAGCCCTGCAGCTGCTAAGTAAGTAGCACTGCTCACGCTTCTTGGATTGGTCTAGGAGGGCTCCCTCTGGTGTACTGACCCCCATGTGCTGCAGAACAAGTCCTGCTAAAGATATGCTTTGGTGGTCCTATAAATCTGCTTGTGATTTATTTCTTGGGAGGTGAGGGCTCCAAAGATCCTATCTACTCAGGATTTTTATCCTGAATAGTGCAGACAGAATGGTGATTTCAATAGGAAGAGCAATAAATACTAGGCGCCGTTAGCCCTGAAGAGCTCCAGAGACCAGCAGCCAAGGAAGAGAAGCAACACAGACCAGCAATATGGTGGCACTGACCTACAGCATCTGGGACAAGCTGGTATGGGATGACAGTGACCAGCAGCAGTGGTTTTGGCATTCAGCATTATCCAGTGGCATCTGGTGGCATCAGAACTCTAACAAAGCTGCATTTTGCTCATTCATGATTTCCATCTGAATTGAGCAAAAGAACCCTCAACTGTTGGCAATAATATTGTGGTTATTACTATTATTATTGCTCCAGAGTGTGATAAATTCTGGGCGCTAAAAGGTCAGCAGAAGGTAGCATGATGCTCTCAATTTGGCAAGAAAGAGGCAAGACACAGGCAAAGGCAATATGACAAGTTTTTCTAAACAAATGCATGCAGAGGATCTATGAGAACACAAGAGACAGTGCCTAACTTAGCTACAGTCATGGAAAGGGGGTTTAAGGCAGTGACCCACGGTGGGACAGTTGAGCTCCCCAGCTCCTCAAAGAGATGGGAACTCTGAGGTCCATCTGTCTTGTCTAAAAAGACATCCTTTGAGAGGTACCAAGGGAGAGACCCTGGGTGAAGTCAACTGACAGGAAGGCCCTTTCAATTTATTATTAGCTAAGCCTCCTCTAAGGGATGGTTCTCAAGAAAGGCCAACCCTACACTGAATTTTTGGTTGGGCTCCAATGTATACACTGAGAATTCCTAAAATAGGCAAGTTGACACAAGGGAATTCTTGCCCAGAATGGTGTGTTTACTTGGTGGATATGAATTACCCAAAACTGTGTGGAGCAGGGAGCTGTTTAGCCCGAACGCCCACAGCCCATTTATACAGAAAGTCGTATGCTCACACACTGTCTAAACCACAAGAGCCGTGGCACAGGCTCTGAAGCCTGGCCAGCACAGTTTGATTCTGGCACCTTCACATACCAGTTGACCTTAAACATATGACTTCACCTCTCTAGACTGGATTTCTTCAAATGAAACTAACAAGATGTATTTCACAGGACTGTGATTGAGAATTAAAACAACTACTGGTGAAATGGAGCCTGGCACACAACAGATACTTGATAAATAATAGAAAGAACTAACATATATTCCTGGAGACATACCACATCCCAGGAACTGAGCCAAGAGCTTTAAAAAGAACCTTTTTCGATCCTTACATTAGCTCCATTTAAAAAATAAGAAAACTGAAGCAACAGGAGTTGTGATACTAGTAAAAAGGTCAGGGGCAGTTCCACTTGGGTTTCTTTGCTCTAACAAAAAGAAGTGGATGGAAACTAGAATTGGGGCCTCTAATTCAAAGATAGTCCCCTTCTATTGTCCTTCTCCTAGTCAGTTCAAAGTGGGCAGCTGTTGAAATGGTTTCTGTGATGACTAATTGAGTGCTGAACTCACTGCTGACCAAATGATGGGACCGTGGGCACCAGTAACTTCTGCTGAGAAATGCTGAGGGTAGGGGCTGCCTGTGAAAGTGTGGGGCATGCCCTCCTTAATTCAGCGCTCCACCTTCTAGCTGCAACTCGTGAGGAGGGCAAAGCTATACCCTGGCCCTTCTCAAGTAAGAACTTTTCTATCAAAAACATAATGAGTTTTTGATATATTTTTCCCTAAGGTCCATATAGCTGAAGGGATGGAAGAGTCCAGCTGCTGCCAGCTTGACCAAGGGGTGACCTAAAACATATTCTCCCTCTTCTTTCAAGCTGGGACAAAGGTTTGAGCCTTAACAAACTGGATTTAAGGATGGTTTTCTTTGCCTTAGACATGGCGACAGAGTTAAAGGCAGAGAAGTTAGCATAATTCAAACAACCTTTTCTAAAAAGCCAAGGACTAGAAATATTTTGACTGATGAGACTGATTTTAGAGATACAGCCTCTGGATGCTCTGTGTGATGAGAGTTTAAAGGATGTTCCCACAGGGGACCACACACAAAGGCCAGGCTTGGTAGGGAGGTTGAGGGGAGACAT